CACCGGAAATTATCACATCCCGGGCCCGAGAGTGAGCGCAGGGTCAATTGATTCTGCGAGGAGTGCATCAATTCAAGTGAGGGCTTCATCGTGCAGTTACTCGCTGCAGCCGTCATCGGTGCTTGCATACTCGAGCACCGTACAATGAGTGTTATGCGCTGCATAGAGAGGATTGGGTGCGCCGTACCGACGTACGGCTTGATCCGAATTTCATTGTTTGACGGAGCGCAAGAGATGACCTCAGTTGGATCTTACTGTCGAATCACCTTTGGCATTCGGTTCGTCCCCAGTCAGAGTGATGGAGCCGGGAGGGGGATTCTACCTATCGGAGCTGAATTTCTACCATATACGACCTTCCGTTGCCCAACCCTGGAACCATAATACGGTACAATAGTGTTTAAACAGCGGTGCCCATAGCAACGGTGCTCCAGAATAAGCAATAAATTGCGCTAAGATACACCTGTAGGTGTATCAACCCATGAATGGCAAAGGTGGGGGAAGTTCCTCGGATCTAAACCTTCCACGGGCCTCGTTAAATTTACCTTCTCCGGCCGCCGGTGCATTCGGCGGAACCAACTGCAGAACCATGCTACTGCAATGGTACGGTAAGAAGGTTGTACGAATAAGAAGCGTTGTGTATAAACCCCAACCCGCAAATTCAACACGAAGTGGACAACCACGACTCTGGTAACCTCTTGTCAACTCGAGTAGGACCCTATGAACTCAGGCTCTCCTGAGCAAAGCAGCCAGCCAAACAACCATGCATAAGCGGAGGTTCCTGCATTTGGCAAATCAGCAATAACGGTATCGATTGTGTGGCTGTGTTCGGAATGCACAGGCGATTACGGGCGTGGACTTGACTGTTTTGAGGTGGGCCCACATATGCGAGTGTTCCCCCCGCGTGTGGCTTATCAAAGGAACCCCTCTTTTTTTTTTTCTCCTAAAAAAATAAACCAACCAATTTGATACGGCATGGGGTTCGTGTTTACTTTGTTTGTTTATATTTTGATTTCGTTTTTTTTCTCGTGCTGCAAAAAAGGAGGGAAAATGGATATAGCGGGTAGTGACTAATGTTTTTGTTTTTCCCCCCAAGCTTAGTTGTGAGATCCCTAAGCACTGCACTGCTGTTTTTGTTAGTTCTTGGACGAGGGAGCGGCAAAATGCTTGTGAAAGGTGAGTCGACATGTAAAAGCGTTTTGGAGTACGGTGAGTTGTGATATCCTTCAAAGCAGTTAATACCTTTTCCAGAGAGGTGGTGCCGTATCGTAGATTTGGCGGAACGCCTACTCGAGTACTCGTACGGGGCCGACAATTGGTACAGCGCTTGTACTTGTACACCAGAGGAGGAAGGGAAGGCGGAGGGGGCGCTGTTTCCAAATGTCTAGCATGGCATGCTACCTCCTTGCATAGTCATATCAAGGCACGGAGGACCAAGATCAAACCATAAGATACCGTACCCTACAGTATCAAATCATACACCAGTCTCACTCGTACCACAATCGCGATCCCACCTGTTACTATAGAGTACCTGTCCGATTCTCTACCACCATCCATCCATCCATCCAAACAGGCCAACCAACCAACAAGATATCATACCTACTCGAGCACCTTACCCATTCCTCCATCCTCATCCTCTGCGCAGCCAGCCTGGCCGTACAGTACAGTGCAGTACTCTGGCCATTCCCCCAAAAAGAAAATCAAAAGAAATACTCCCCTCCATCCTCCCTCACTTACCCTCTAACTTTTTAAAATACTCATTCACCGCTACCCCCCTTCAAAACAAAAAAAAAAACAAGGCTATCCTTCTCTCCTTACCCACTACTACAACACTCAAATCGTAGGCAAAGACTACTAAACATCTTTTTACAAGAAAAAAAATAAAACCCACCACAATGACAATTGGTCCAAAGCATATTTATTAATTCATCTCGATGGAAGGATGGATGGATGGATGCAATGCATCACTCTGATACGATACGATATGGATACAACCACACCCACTCGCACCCACTCTCCTCTGCGGGGTGAACACGTAGTGCTCAGAGAGAAAGAAAGAAAGAAAGCACAATAGGGCGACGGGCGGTCCAGGAACGGTGCAGTTCGCAAGTCGTCGACCATAAGCGACAAAGTGTGAAAAAGCTTCTCCGGAGGATGAAGGAGTCAGCGGCCTGATGGATGGATAGCATACAAGTGAGCGCCTGTGCCTGCGCCAGCAGGGTCAAGTTACTGTAGGTGCACGCTTCGCTGCGCATCCGAGTGCGAGGAGGTGGAAAGTAGGGCTGTTCATCGATTCCACCTGTGAGCTCATCGTATTATTATTATCTTTTCCCTTTTATTTATAAAAATATTGATGTGCTGTCTTTTGTGCGTTATTGGTACTTTTTTTTTATTTTTATTTTATTTTTTATATTGCGTTTTTCCCTCCCTCCCTCTCTCCACCCTTGCGACTTTTTTTGCAGTAGAGATTGGCGGGGCGGAGTGAAGATGGTGGTCTGCCCGCCGGCTGATGATCCGGGGCGGTGAGCATCATGATAGGATGGCGTCAGGCGGAAGGGTTCATTGACCTGACCAACCCGACCAACCTGGACCAAACAAGGAAAGAGAAGGAAGCAAGGAAAAGAAAGCGTAAAAGTGTAAAAGCGGGTGATGGGCTGTGATCACAAGATTATAGTGCAGTGCATACGAGCACAGTACCGGTATAATAGACCACCTCCCGTGGAATCGTTCCATGAAACCCGGTAAGCACAGAACGCAAAAAAAATCAAGATCAAAGAAGAAAGAAGAAGATTAAAAGAAGGTGGTAAACTAAACAAAAAAAAAAAAAACAACCCACCTCACAACCCATCACTCGAACCACCCAAGCCGGCACGATACGCACCAAGAGTAACCACAGCCGGGTAAACAGCGCCGGACGCGCGAGCACGATGAGCCACCCACCCACCCGACAACACCTCTCTCTCCCTCCCGTCACTTTACATATCATACTCCTCCGTCCGCCCGTCACGTGCGGATCAGGCAGTCGGAAGCATACTTGCCATATATCATCACACGATTCCCCCCCTCCGTCATCGTACCATATCCGCGACATTATTAGTGTTTTTTTTTACCAACGGGTGAGGTTGAAGTTGTGGCGTCAGCGAGTGAGATGTTGTGATGTCGGGTAGGTCAAGATGACCGTAGGTATAATACTGTACTGCGCACTCGGTATATGGGCTTTCTTGTAAGATATCATAGTATGGTATGTTATCCTACCTTCGTATTATATGATAACTTTTTTTGCAAAAAAAAAAAAGGGTAAAATACCCACTTAATTCACTCATTCATGATTTCCAGAAGCGGTTACTTGTATTACCAAACAGACAGACAAGAAAAGTTCCAAGTCGATTAACTCAAATCACAACTCACCGAGACTCCCTCCAGCCAATTAACAGGGGTGAAGCCATCGCCGTGGTCGTCGGTGAACAAGTGTCCGGGGAGGTGTGTGTGTGTGTGTGTGTGTGATGGCTGAGTGCGGGTACGATAGCGTGAATGAGGGGGAGGGAGGGAGGGGATAGATGCGGGCATAAAGTATCACTCGATCACATTCTTGATTTCGATCTTTGATCGATTGATACCAAAGCGGACATAACAAATCTAGTCTAATTTCCCAAAGACCGAGTATATACACGGCTAACGAAGGAAGGTCCATTCATCCGCTCCATCTGGGAGTTTTTTCATTTTTCATTTTTGCCAAAGTCAGTTGGGGAGGGGGCCGGTCAACCGGTCGGTCAGTCAGGAATCGCTCCGGCCTGTTGTAAAATGTTGCTTTTTTTTTTTTTTTTTTTTTTTTTTGCGAGGCGTATGTGGGTGCTGTACGTCTTACTGCCTGCGGATGTGTACAGCGTTATGATGCAACGGACCATCACCAACTGGCTGCCCACAGCTGCTGTCGGAATGCTGGGAGGTAGGTAACCACTTCGACCATGTCGTGCACGGTTGTACTATATGGTAGGTACCCTTCGTCACCGGATCTCACCCGTGAGTGAGCCCCTTCTCTGCCCTGGCGATAAGCGCGAGGATCACTCGCCACTCCGGGATTAAGGACTTGAGGAGTATAAATGCCCTATTCGGCATGTTACCCCCCTCCCCTTCTCCTTGGTTACAGCTCAGCTCGCGGACCTCCTACTAGGCCACTGTTTTCACAGGTACCAGCAAGGCAGCAATGTGGTCAACGGAATTTAAATCCGCAAGAAAAAGGGTATTCTCCTATATTGCGGCGTGCCTAAATTTCACCCCAAAATAACATTATCTACCTCGACCCATTCCTCCCCCCTCCACCCACCTCGCGGTCAGCAAGGCCAAACCAATTATCATACAAAAAGGCCGCTCTCAGTGTAGACCAAACAACCCATCCGCCCTATTCCACCCATCAAACCAGCAAACAGCCCAAACAGAAAAGAATCACAAAAGAAAACGCACGAAGCTAAAGAGCATAAAAGAAAATCGAGTGAGTGTGCAAGTTAGTCAATAGGGTAGTCAGTCAAGGGCAAGGGGACAAAGGAGACGCGAGAGAGAAAAAGGTGGACAAATGAAAAACAAAGTACTGTGGTTTGGGTAAGTAGACGTTAGCAATAACTTCAAAACAGAAAACGCGGAAAAGGTAGCACAAAAGATAAAACAAAAAGAAAACTCTAGCCCAAATTCCCCTCTTCTACAAGTTCTCCGCCGCCGCCGCCGCCGCATCTCGCACAATAGACAAGTAAGCACGAAGTTGCAAATGGTTAATAAAATGAAAAGAATATATATAAAAAAACAATTTTTTGCGCCGTCCATAATCATTCCAGGATGCGTTTTTTGAGCAGAAAAAGAGAAAAGTAGCAGGTTAGATGAAGTGACAAAGACAGGGCAAAAAAAGGCCAATCCAATTTTAATCTCGCAAAAGACAAACGGAAAAGAAAAGAAAAGAAAGAAAAGAAAAAGAAAAAGGCCCCCCACGCAAGAAAAAGGAAACCCCCTCGAAAAATCATTCCAACGCTAGAGCTCCTCTCTGTTTCGGAATACGAACTCAAGAGGATACTCTAGCGACCCTTATCGCAAAGTCATCCTGTTCGTGCTTCTGAACAATCGAACCCGTCTGTAGGTTTAGGGGCTGGCGCAAAGTAGTCCCATTATCCAGCTGCCGTTGTGGCTTCCTCGACGTGGCAGGGGATGATGATGATGATGCAATTTCCCGAGAAGGCCTTCGGTCCGTTACGCTGTCGAAATACCCCGAATGCCTGCCACCATCGCTCATACTCCCATTCCGACTGCGACTTCGTGCCCCTGTGCTGCCCCCCTCACCAGCCTCCTCGACAACCGGCAGCACCGCTCCAGCCGCCCCTCCCGCCCTCTCAGCCGAGGGTGACCTAACGGTACCAAGACTCCTAGTGGGCACATCCCTCTCACCCGCACCCGCCCTTTCCGCCTGATTGCGCGATCCGTCCACCGCATCACTCTCCGATCGCGCGGGAACTGCCTCCGCATTCGCCTTCTCCCGCATTTCCCGGTCCCTGGCCGCTTCCTCCGGTGATTTGACCAATCCGGATATAAACTTGAAAAACCGATCTCCATAACCTTGAGGCGGAATCGCCGAAACCTGATCCTTGGGATTCGATAGCCCTCTCCAGAAATGCTCCGCCTTTTTCGCAAACCCATACTGAGCATTGACACGTTAGCAACCATACGCGACCATGCAGAAACTCGGTAGAACAAACATGGGTAAGACAATCAATGATGCCAAGATAATAAATAACATCGCCGGGCTCGTCATTCTCATGAGTAGCCCGGAATCCGCCATCGTCCCCATAAAACACAGTCTTCCTCTGCCTGTAAAATTATTAGCACAGCCCCCTCACCCACGACCAGCAAGACCAGGCAAACATACTCCAAAAATTCGTCCGGCAGACGATTCGATGTTCGATCCAGTGATACGGGTACCTCCTTGTTGATAATCTTCCGCAGCTCTCTCGCCTGGCGGGCCTTCTCCATCTTACTGGGTGTCCTCTGAAGCATATGCCCATGCAGTTCATCACTCTCGCTACCCCCAGGTTGAAACACTTTCAGAGCATTGTTCCGAATGTCATCCCGATTCCCCCTGGTTAGATCGTGGATGCCTAACAGCAAAGAATAATCCATGATGTGAAGTTTTCGCAATAGTTTGACATCCCTCTCCACCTGCTGCAAGAACAACTCCTTCTTGTAGGGTCCAAAGTTCAAATTCATGTCCCTCCGAAGCCAATTGAGATCCTTCAGGGTGGCCCTCGGGTTATCCGCCAGGTTCTCCTCCTTGAAATCTCGTCCAATGGTGGAACCCTTGAGATCAAACGTCTGGTGGATATCTCGGTGGGGCGGGAAAAGGTTGTTCATGACAACAAAGTGGATCTTGCGGCCAAAGGGCGTCTTGACACGATGCAAACCATAAAATTGCGATATCAGAGTGTCAGGGTTGTCCTCCACATGCTTCCAGTAATCCCGCAGTATCTTTCGGAGAAACAAATGTTCCCCGTGGTGAATGGTCTTGATGATGTACTTGTAATCCCTGGAAAAGTAAAAGAAACTGCCACTCTTTCCGGGCGAACCCAATTCCGACAATATGTACTTGCTCGTCAACGACATCAAATAATCAGCCGGATCGAGGCCAAACTTTGTCCGCAAATGTCGAAAGACCCAGGGCGAGTAATCCTTAAACTTGAAATCATACTTGGCCGAGGGGGTAAGCTCATTGCCGGTTCTGGAGCACACGTCAGCAGAGGGACACCCCTTTACAAAACAAGGCCGAACGGGGCAAGAACCCACATATCAAACGAGAACTTGTGTTTGGCATCGAAATCAGCGTCCGTCAAGGGTCTATCCATCTTGGCATTGACCCTCGATACCACGAAACGGATACCAGTGAGCATATTATACGCCGTTACCCAATTCACGTGGTTGTGGTCAACCTTGGTCCCAACCACAACCTTATCATCCTCCTCCTCCTCCTCCTGCTTCCGCCTCTTGCTCGCCCTCTTTGCCCTGATGGCCTCGGCCCACCGCGCGGCGTCCTCGTCCTGGGGTATCTCGTCGATGTGCATATCGGAATTAGCCGACCTGGTAGCCCTTCTGCCCAGGGAGATGGAAGCACGACGGGGGGCACTGGTGGTGGTGGTGGGGGAGAAACGGCCACTGGCAACAGCATCGGGTACGCCCCCAGGAGGGGGATTACGAGCGTTGTAAGCTTTAGGGACTTGCAGCGTGTGTCGATGCCGCAGGCTCGAACCAGGGGGGGGTGGTTGCTGCGGCTGGCCCACGTGGGCGGCAGACGAGGCGGATAAGGGCAGAGGTGAGGAGAAGCGGGAGGTATTCGGTTGGGAATTAGGGGCGGATAGATGGTCCGTCGTCTTGGGAGCCACAAGGCTCACGGTGCTATTAGGAGAAGCAACCGAAGAAGAGGAGCCGTGTGTTGCAGCGCTGGATTGCACACCATTCGGGCTGCTGTTGGACCCACCTTCCACTGCCGGTCCATTTGGGAAATACAGGTTCTCCGGTGATGGTGATGGGGTCGTCGGGCCCTTTACAGCCCCTGAACCCATCCCGACAGCCATCCTCCCGTCACGGTCGGCGGGGCCACCGTTGGCGAAGGTGGACATGTTTGAAGTTGTCGTGGTGGCAGCGGTAGTGGCAGTGGTAGTGGTAGAAGTGACTGTAGATTGAAGTGATGGCCGCCGGTTGGAGTTGATGGGGCGGGTATTGGAGGAGTCTCCCTCGACGATTTTCAGGCCCAAGACGACACCAGTCACAGACCCGTTTCCGTTGGCAGCGGAAACACCGCTCGTGGAGTTGGAAGGGCTATGTTGGTGAGGCCGGGAGAAGTTTTGGGGGGTATAATGACGACGACTCGACGAGGAGGAGGATGTTGGGATATCGTTGTGGGGAACTGGCATAACAGCAGTATCCCTAAACTGTAAAAGCATGTGCTGTCGACCGGCCCAAAAAAAAAAAAAAAAAAAAAAAGACGAAAGCTGGAACAGAGGAAGAAGGGGAGATGGTGCTTCTCGAAGGAAATGATTCTTTGAATTAGAAGAGAAAAAAAAGAAAAGAGGAAAAAGGAAAGAGGAAAAAGAAAAAAAGGGAAAAACGACGGAACAGGGCGAGAAAAAAGGAGAGAGCGCAGTTAAGGGAGAGGAGAGGAGAGGGCGAACCACGGGCAGCTACGGAGGGGAGCAGAGCACAGTGGGAGCGGAAGAAGGAAAAAAAAGAAAAAAAAGGGACCCCTAAGAGAAGTGGTCTAGGCGCGACACAAGCCGCATGCGTTAAACAACCAGCAAGCAGAAGCAAGCTGGCGGTCAGTGGAGGTTGATGGGAGAAGGGAGCAAAAGAGTGGATAATGGATGGGGGGGACAAGAACTGTGAGCCGAAGAGTTCCAGCCACTCCAATTTCAAATTCCCAAGCAGTTGATGAGTTTCCCTTCCCTCGAGCGTGGAGTAGAGTACTGTACAGTACGAGTCCTGTCCAGGAGGGGACAGAGAGAGAGAGAGAGAGAGAGAGAGACAACACGATGCTCGAGTATCCGCACCGTCCAAGTTGGTGGTATACGTATGATACAGTAGGATAACTCCCCCAAGCCGGCGGAATTGAGAAGCAGACAGTCCGAGGCTCACTCAAGAAGTCTCGAAATAAAGCATGGGTGAGAGCAGGATGGATAGATATCCAGTATGATTACAGTTCGAGCATTCTACTCGTACAGTACCGGGTCACTCGCACAGCACGACACGAGCAGGAGTAACACCTCGGGGCAAGGTCTACCAAATGATAATAGAAAGAGGGACAAGATGGCACGACTGCGCCTCAGCCTCCTCCAGCCCACACAGTCTGCAGCAAATTACAACACCATTCACCCCCCAAAACACCATTCCAAATTCGCCCTCTTGGTCAATCCCGCACCCCGGCATCAGACAAAGCTGTGCAGTGCAGGGCAGAGAACTGAGAACTCTCCAGCTGGTGTGAGTGCGTACGTCATCCAAGGAAAAAGCAGTTAAAGCGCATTCATCCCTCCATTTCATGATACCCTGCATTATTAAATTCCAATCTCTCTCTCCACCTTTCTCTCCATCCCCGAGTATCATAGAAATATATAGTAGCAGCGCCCGCCGCTTCCTTACCCCACAAAGTACGAGAGCTGCACAGTACAGTACAGTACTGTACAGTACCCCATGATACTATATATTATAAGAGCTCAAGCACCCGTAACGGCAATGTATCGCACAGCAAAGTATGGTCCGGGTGCCAGTACGGTACTCGTACAGTACCAATAACCGATACCGTGTAGTCCATCCCATCCTATCCATCCCACCCCATCCAAATCACGAAGCCGAAAGACCAAAAAAAAAAAAAAAAAAAAAAACACAGCAAATGCACAGTAGACTAAGCACTGCACCCCTTCCGACCTGCGCACCACACACACACACAACGCACAGCACAGCGCGCACAACACGGTAGATTAATGCTTAGTCTAGTCCACAGTACTCGTACTGTACTGTACTGTATGTACCCAGGCACAACCTAAATCCAACCATGCCGAGAACCTTGTCGCAAGTTCCGCCAAGCCTATCAAACCGTGCGAGTATCATCATATCATACTGTAGCCAACCTGCAACTTCCTTGCTGACCCACACAGAGCGGGTTTTCCGTACGAAGTAAATTTACCTCGTAGTACAGAACCCTAACCCGATGCTGAGCACGGAAAAACGGAAGGCCCATGTAGGATACGATAATAATTATGATATTACCGTAAAAACTCGTTAAATCTGACATCTGGAATCGGGCTTGGCTATGGCGCAAATTGGGTATGAGTGATCATGCCAAGATATCGAGTGACCGGGAGTGATGCCGAGATTAGAAACTCGCACAGACTATATCAAATAGAGCATGAGTCAACTCACCCGTGTTCGTTTTCTTATTATTAGAGTTCAATGAGTATCTCGTATTTGCCTACCAGTGAATAGAGTTTAACAATGACTATAGGTTTTATAATTGTGAAATATAGAGTCATGGTATTATTGACTCAATATCAGAGACAATTGTTGAATTCAAGTCAGCATGAGACAAGAATGTATAGAGAAGTAAAGGGAAGATAAAGTGTAGTACGTAGAATGTTTAGAACTGAGAATAGAGAGACCAATTACCTGATAGAAGACATGAGTCCAATTCAAATACCAAAATGCCAGCAGGGCCAAACGCAAAGTCAATCAAGGAATGAATTCTACGTTGTTACAATTTAAAGCCAATTCAGCGTCCAGAACGAAGCTATAGCCAAAATCAAAAACTGCGAGTATTTACATTCATGGCTCATCATTCCATTCCACTTGCCCAGCTGGGAATGTATTGCCATCCCATACAACAAAAAGCTGCCTACTTCTATCAAATTCCACGAACCACAATCAGCGACTGGATACGAACAAAAAATCGAATTGAGGGGGTAGAAAGAAACTTGGGAAAAAGAAAAGAAGAAAGTATCGGAGTTTCGCAGTGGGTACTATGGCCACAATTAGAGGATCAGTTATATGGTCAGTTTATAGAGCGAAGGGAAGCAGGACAAACTGTGAGGCAGGGGTGGTTTCGAATTCAGTCTCAATTCTTATTTCGAGAGACTTATCCAAATGCTAGTTCAGAGCTCTTCAGATTCAGTAATGTGTGGTTTTGGGGATTTCTTAGTCGCCATCGAATTAGCCTTCGCAGTATCACCAAAAAAGCGCAAAAGTTACCTTCGGATTATGAGATGCTTGTTGTTAACTAGTTGCGTTTCAACTGGTGAAACCCACAGCCAAGAGGTAATTGATTCTGGGAGGTTGCAGTTGAGCATCCAGTTGGTCGCTATTCACTTTCCAATATTTGCAATCTCAACGAGACCCCAATTTCTTTCGAATACCTTCAGGGTAAGACCTATAACACGGCAGGAACGAAGGCGGTGTGGGTGAAGGAAAGCCGATCGGGATGGGACAAGCGGCAGGCCAGCTTGGTTCTCTGTATTTTTGCTGATAGCATCTTCCGAATACCACCTATGATTATTTTTCATGGTACAGGAGCTAGGTTGGGAGCTGAAAAACTACAATATCATCCCAGTGTTTTGATTGAGTATAATGCTACAGCATATATGAATGATACCTTATTTACAAAATACCTTACTGATTACTTAATTCCCGCACTTGGTGGTCGTCTGAGTCTTTTTGCCCTTGACTTAATGGGGTCTCATAAAACTTCCGCCGTACTTGAGCTACTTCGAAATAACAACATCACCCCTTCTCTAATTCCCACCGGATACACTAGCCTGGTGCAACCCCTAGACGTCTCTATCAACAAGCCATTTAAGGATTTAATGCGTGACTACACAGATTGAAAGATCTTCAAGTGCGAATCAGCAGCCGATTTCGAAAAATGGACAGTTGGGGACCGAAGAGTTATGACAACTCACTGTGTTGGAGATGCTTATGCTCAGTTTCATGCTGAGAAGGCAAGCCTAATTGTTAGTTCTTTTCACAAATTAGGCTTGTCACTTCCAGTTGATGGTAGTTTGGATCATGAGTTGGATATCAAAGAATTTGAAAATCTGGAAATTGGCAACTGGTAAGAAGATTTAGACTCACTTGATGACAGGGCTGATGTTGGGATAGAGGGAGATGAAGTTATAGAATTTGTAAACTAATAGTTGTGTTGATTGTGGATTGACGTTCAACAAATGTCTTTTCGGCATCATGGACGATCACTCGATCTCTTGGCATGATTACACACACCTTGTTTGCGCCATAGCCAAGCCCGCTTCCAGATGCCGGATTTAACAAGTTTTTACGGTATTATCATTATTGTTCTGAATTGTCATTTTCTATTTTTGGGACAGACGATATCATAGGGTAGAAGCGAAGCAACTTATACACGCACGTGGGAATTACGGTGAAATAATTTCCTAAGGGAAAATTGTTTATTGGCATCATAATACCGGTATCTATCATACAAGGCACCTTTTACCAATCCGGAACTCGAACGTTCAGATGCTTTTCCGTGATAGTAGGCAGGATTACGGGAGAAGACTGTGTAGAAAAATCGAACCCCAGGGTTTACCCCGCTAGCGAGCAGAAATACATACTACTGTAATAGTATATAAGATTGAGACATCTTTTTAAATGCCCGCACCGCGCATCTGCAATACCATAAAAACTCGCCTTTTGTCTCATGATAAGTGCGGTGGAGTAGGAGGAGTACAATTCCCCTCCCACAGCACAGGCACAATTCGATTAACCCGTTTACCGTAATATCGTTACGATACACTCCCACTCCCACTCCCAACTCTCCATTCATCGATCCCCAGAAGCAAAATATATACCATTCCGAGTGCGCCAATTAACGATGATATTATGGTGGTGGGGGGCAAAAGCATCAATCAATAAATCAATCGCCCGAAAGAAACGAAAATTTGATGACATCATCACATCATACGGTAGGAACCTACCGTACGTAACTGTACGGACGGACGGACCGTGATAACGGTACCGTATATCATGACCCAAATTATGATACCTAGCTAAAAATAAAACAAAACAAAAAACAAAAACAAAATAAGAAAGGAGGTTGGAAGGTTATCCTACTTTTTCGACACGGTCTATCGATTTCTACAAAGTTACTCTACTGCTAATTGGCCGGCTATTTATTTACCTTGCCGTACTAGCAATAACTAGCTGCTAGCACCGTACGCTAGTACATGCATATCATACCTCTCCTACTTCGGGCCTACCTACCTACCGTAGACTACTACTTAGACTACGAGTACAGTACAGTATAATACTCCCCACTTGCCTACCACACCAGCAATAATCTTTATCCATCCATCATATCTATCCATCCATCTAGCCTGGAGCTATGATATAATACGAGTACGCTACCTCAACCCTTTCCAGCATTACCAAGAAAATAATCCACCATATCATATATGTACTGAGCAGTTGCGCCAAGGAGTGATATCTCACCTCATCAAAGTTTCCGATCTGATATCAGGTAGGCTGTGCTCTGATATACCCCGGTGGTATTTACCATCACAACTGCATGTTGCATCAAATCTCACTTCATCCACAGACTTTCAACATTCACAACGCGCTCGAGCGTAGATCGAGGGGATGCTAGTAAGTTAATGCATCATACGGTACAAGGCAAGAACCATCAATCACAACCAATCACTCACTCACAAAACGGACCTACCGACAAGCAATGACTACGAGTATGATATGATGAATCCCGCCGACAACCGCTATCCATGAAAAAAATGAAAAAAAAGTGCCGCTCGGGGAGAAACGGAGAAACAACGGAGATTTGTATGGAATAGCTCGGTTATCCATACCCACCCCCTCACCAACCGACGATAACCGCGCTCAGCATCTCGAGGGGAAGAAGAGGACGATGGGCGTAACCGCACGTATGGCTGGCTACTCGAGTGGATACATATCGTTCATATGATACATGCATACATGCAAAGAGCGGAATACTGTGCGGGTGTGATCGATAGGATGCGGACCCGCCAACCGAATCCTACAGCCAACAGTTGTGTGCGTGCGTGCAAGAATAAACCTAACCCAGACGAGTGACCCTCCATGCGCAAAAAAACCCTAATCCTTAGTTTAGTCCAAGGTTTCAACCTCACTTCACCTCCGCTCGCTCCATCACTCACAAGCGAAAGTGAGAAACGCGGAGGCGCTGCCCACGTTTTTTCCCCCTTAATTTGGGACGACTCGCGAGACCGAGTGAACAAATGAGTGACGAAACGGAGCAGAGCATTAACTGTTGCTATTATTATCATCATCATTTCCCCTGGGTTAGGGTACCGGTATTTGGTCGGCGAATTACGATAACTGCGAATACCGTGCATTCACCACACTCGCGATACTGTGCTCAACCTGCGTCCTATCATACCACCTCATTTCTTTTCACCTGCTCCCGTCAGTTAGTCGCCAGCTTTTTCACAGATACACCCCTATATTCCAAAAGCTTTTTTACTCATGACGAAAAAGAATTCTATACGATAACGAATGAGGTACAAGAGTGGTGCCAGTAGCTCCAAAGAACTCACTCTTCCAGTTCAAGAGAAAATCAAAAGTAATGATAAAAACCGATTGGACAACAATAACCCCAGCATACAACGAACAATACACGTGGAAACAAAATAAAAATTCCCAAGCACCCGAAAGGAAAAGAAAAAAGAAAAACTGTCCAGAACGGGAAAACCCCGATAAGACCTAATACGACGGGAACCGAAAGAGAGAAAGCGATTTACCCCCCCCAATGGACAAAGAACAAAACCCTTGCATTATTCCCCAAGTGTAGAAAACAGTGATAGAAAAGAACCGTAGCAAATCATGAAATAAACACCTCCCCCAACAGAGCATAATTGAACAAGGCGAACATGCAGCTACACTCTGGTTATAAAAGACGAAGATTTACAAGAAAGTAGGAATTTGTTTCGAAGCGTGAAGCTTATGCTTCAGCTGCAGGGGCTTCCTTCTTCTTTGGGGTTGCTTTCTTCTTGGGTGCAGCGGCCTTCTTCTTGGGTGCGGCCTTTGTGGTAGTCGCGGATCCCTTAGAGACGCGACCAGACTTGGTCTTGGTGAGGACAGGGGACTTCTCAGTCACGGCAGGGGCCTGGAAAATGTTAGATAAAGTAAAACTTTTTTCCCTTTTGCTCTTGGGATTCAAACTCACAGCAGCGGCGGCCGTCTTTCTTGGCTTCTTTGCATTGGACTTGGGCTTGGCAGGCTCCTTCGCAGCGGCCTTCTCCTTCTTGGGAGCGGGTTCCTTCTCCTTGACAACCTTCTCCTTCTTTGGAGCAGCAGCCTTCTTCGCGGCAGGTTTCTTGGCAGTCTTCTTGGTGGATTCCTTGGCAGCGGCAGTTTTCTGTGCATAGTTAGATTACATTGATCAAGATAAAACCGCAAATGTGAAGGAGCATACCTTGGCGGTGTCCTTAGCGGTAGGCTTAGGCTTGGGAGCGGGTTCCTTCTTTACAAGCTTGACAGTGCCAGAGGGACCTAAAAGCTCATGTTAAGCGAAGTCCTAAGAGCAACTCTGCAAACAGGACACATACCCTTAGGGAAAGCGAATTCATTGTTCTCGGCACCCTTCTTCAATGCCTGGTTGAAGAGTTGGTCGAAACGATCGGTGGCAACACCCTTGTAGTTGGCCTGAATGTATTTCTTGAGAGCAGGACGACTGAGGGGGGAAAACACGCCATTAGCCACATCACAACAACACGTAACCGACAAAATGTTGTGAATATTTTTTTCAAGCAACTAACCTAGATCCGTTGCGTTCTTTAAGCTATACATGATAGGAAAGTTAGTTTACTATTCATCCATATATCATATCCCTCTTGTTTTATTCTTTCCTTCCGATAATAATAAGGGAAGATAGGGTGAGGAGGGGAGAACAAACAGCTCGGATAGACTCCTTGATCATCTCCTTATAAGGAGGATGTTCGGAAACGCTGGAACTCTTCTTGGTGGTTCCAGTCTTAGCGGCGGCAGCTTTGGGAGGCATGTTTAATGGTGTGGATATCTGTAACCTTGATTTGGGATAGAATAGACGGGGGCGATTGACGGAGTCACTTGTAAAAGTGGGAATATTTTCGTGTGCTTGTGTGGAGGAAGCAAATGGGAGATTGAAAGTGTGGATGGGAACGAAGGGTGAGCGGGAAGAGGGTAGCGGGGCAACGTCGTCTTATGTCCCAACACGAAGACAGCCTGCAGCCCGACCAGATCAACGCCCACATTTTCCTTGCCCACCCTCTCAGGTTCTTCTAACCCATGTTTTGAGTGGGTTAGGGGTAAAAATTGAGATTACTGCCTCTCACTCTCACTCTCTCACTCTTTCCCCCTCCCCCAAGAAAAACTTGCCGGGAAAGCAGAGCAGAGAGAGCACACAGAATTGTGCAGTATGATACAAAGTTTAACCAAAGCAAAAAGGTCAGGCTGTCCAAAAGAAAAATTATAGAGCACCGATTTGAAGTTTTTGAAGGCAGGAAGAAGGTGCAAGCCTTTTTTTTCTCTTTCTTTCCCTCGCATCCCATCCATCCATCGACGCCGACGAAGCTTCTCTTCGCGCCCTCGCTCCCTCGCTGCGCTTTCCCTCGTTTCCCTTCCCCCCTCCCCTTCGATTCCCTTTTTTTTTCTTCCCTTCCACTTCCACTTCTCTCTCACTTGCTCCTCGGGCCCTCCCAACCCAACCCATTTTTCGGGGTCTCCTCCATCTCCCGCTTTTTTTCCCATTTCCCCCCCCTTCTTTCCTCTCCCTCATTCATCTTTCTATTCCTTCCCACCCCTTCATTCTTTTTCCTATTTTTTCCCCCCCATCCCTCCGACGGCAACACGTCACTTTGCTCTCCCTTCTACCCTCCTCACACATCCCAATTATTTCCGCCGATTGGGTGTTCTCCTTGTCCTTGTTGTCACTTGACACTCACTTGTTGATGGCATCGGTCCAATCCCTCCTGGACCAGAGTCTGTCCCTCACTTTTTCCCTTCTTCCTCCTTCCTTCCTTCTTTTTTCCTCCGTTCAATCACTCACTCACCCCCTTGCCCTACTCCCCATTCCCAGCGCAATAGTAAATACATGTTCACGTAGAAGAACCCAATTTAATTTTTTAAAATAGAAATAAATGAAGGATCAATTCCTATGCCAAATTGTAGCATTCCATACCAAACACCAAGTAGAAAAATTCCAAAATACTATTTTTTACAAGCCTTGCCGCGAGGAATGCACCGTTCAGGCCCCTCGCCGCCGGTATCGCGAGTGATCACTCGCTTCACATCCCTCCCCCCGCTCACCCAGACTCGAGAAGCCATGGGACGCTCAAGCGGGCGAAAAACAACACCATCTCGCTAAGGGAACATGCAAAGTTCATGCGGCGACACGAGAGATGCGATCGGACAGGATATCAGGGCGGTCCCGCAAGTTTAGACCATCAATATAAGATGGAGAAGCTCCGCCCGGCACATGGTTGTAGTTTCCCGTGAAAGCGTTGCGAGAGTTTTGTGGGCGCCTCGGAAGAAGAAGAAGGAGATATCGTGACCCCCCCCCCCAACAAATGTCAATATCAATGGAGGTTAAGCGAGCACGAATGGATATCGTAAATAGACGAATTGGGCAGACAGCTCTCGTAGCACTTTATCAGAGAATTTGAATTATCACTGCGTCGTTTGTTCTCCTCTCGTGCCATGTGCAATCATGCTTCGATCTTGGTGGTGGTGTTGAGTTGTGTACTGTACAGTGCAGTACTTTTGGAATTTCGCGGTGGTGGGGGAATTTCACAGCGCAACGAATTGACGGAAGAACGAGTTCGTCGTGCGCGTTTATATCACGCCCTGCTAGAACTTTACCTGGTGATTATCTAGTCGTGGCGTAGGTAGGAAATTTCTCTCTCTCTCACGATTTCTCTTATGTGTTTGTGCGTTTGTGTGTTGAGTTTCTTTTGCCGGATTGCATTTTCATCCCCGGATGGATGGACACTTATGATAATAATAATACTTGGCACAACGTTGTATACATAGCTAAGGACATCTAGAAAGCATTTCCGACTAGATGGGGAGGATAATAAAATCACGATGATAATACTCTAGGTATGATATGATACAGAATGGGAGACTTTGTCCCCTTCTCTCAGAGTAGAATACACCCCTTCAGGCATTCATCCATTCATTCAGGCCACCGCCAGCCGCACCATTATCTACAAGCACAGTACCCGACCTAGGTGGGTAAAATGTAGAAAGAGAGAAAAGGCTACCACTATGTCAGAGCAAGCCGTGATATTTCTCCGAAGCAATTCGACACAAAACCAACGAATCGAGTACGAACGCACGAGGAAGGAAATAAATGGCAAGTAAACAAAGTAAAAGTAAACTAACTATACGAATGAAATCCTCCCCCTTATTACAGTAGGTGATCGATTCCACCAACTCGCTTCTTTTCGGTGAGAAGATGGTGATGAGGCTGCCCCGTGCAGTTTGAAAGGAGAGAAGAAAAAGAGTGAGAGAGCGTGAAGTGTTCCATCACAGCTATTGATGTTTAATACCTGCGCGCGGAACTTGCATTGGTAGATTGTCAGATAAATCAGCAGTCTATCTATTGCGCTGTACGTACTTGTCGAGTGGAAGCTATATCGACATAAATACAGTACCACGTCCCACCGATTCGTTCACTAGACGATATGTATGACACGAGCAGTGTGGGCATGATAATGATATCCAGAATTCCAAAACTCACGACCAGCTCTGTCGATACTATCCTATCCTACCCTATGATACCCGGCCTTCGGTCCCCCAGATCGTCGTGTGCAAACGGCAGGAAAAGTGAAGGAGCAAAACCGGGCCAAACCGAACCAAGAGCTATATATACCATAGAAGCTATCATACATACAACTTGATAGACCCCACCACGAAATGCTATCTACGAGTACTGTACAGTACTGTTACCAATCGATCCTCCATCATAATATTCATACAAGAATCTTCGAGTAATATTCGTACAGTACAAAAAAACTAACCAACAGATCGGATCGGATCGGATCAAATCCCCAAGCAACCTCTTTCTTTCCATCCCTTCGAGAGGGGGGAGGGGGGGGCGGTATGTTAACTGTACAGTACTGTACTGTAGTCTACCGTGCTAGGCAACAGGAGGGTAACATCACCCCGGACAAAACCTGTGAATCCTTATCCTTTCCTTTTCCTTCCTTCTTTTCCTTTTCTTTTCTTTTTTTCTTTCTTCCCTTAGTGGGTGCGTGTGCTGTGCGGTTATGGTGCAAGGGTAGTACAAACGGAGCAGAAAAAATTCTTGCCATCGACAAAAAATAAAAGCTCTTATTATATATGGTTGGTTCCGTGATTACAATGCAAGTACAATAAAATTTATACTCACAAATCTATCGTACAGACGACGAGCATGTCTCACGACTTACTCTCACAATCATATACCATACTATACATCCAAAAACCCTATTTGCACGATACCATACCATAATTCCTAAATCTATCACGCGAGTAAACCTCCAACCTTATTAACTATGATATGATACCTTGACACGAGTTATGATATAGTACCCACTTTCCCCTAACTCTCCTCCCACCCCGGCATTCCGAATTTTCACAGCCACATGTATGATACTTGTATATGCGACAACGCTTGTTTCTCAGCCTCCAAACCTGGTATGCACGCACGGATTGTTACGGTATTCTGTGCTCTGCACTGTTGGTATCGTAACTTGGGTTTGTCATTCATTTTTTCGGTGGCCGTAGTGGTGGGTTCTGTGGCGGTGTATACATTATATTCTCCCGCAAAGTGATTACGGTAATTGATAATTGTTTACCGGTATGTTATGATTGTAACATTTTTTTCATTTTCACCTCTCCGAAAGAAAAATGAAAAAATGAAAAAATGAAAAAAAGAGAGAATGAAAAGACTATTGTACTGTACAGAATACCAGGCCTACCATCGTAATATAAAAAAATGTCAAGACCAAAGAGTGGCATACCATGATACAAAGGATACGAAACAAGAAAAAGAAAGAAGAAGAAAAAAAAACTACCTCTTCCCCTTCTTCCCCTTCCCCTTCTCCGCCTTCTCCGCCTTAACCTTCTTCTTCCGCTCGGCTGCCTTCTCCTCACTCTTCCTCTTCAGCCCGGCAAGCTCCTCCGCCGTCTTGGGCACGGGCTTGAAAAAGTCATTGACGCGCGCTTGCGTGTTCCCCTTCAAGTTCTTGGACAGCTTGACTGCGCCCGCGCGCACACGATCCTCGTTGAAGCCCTTCTCGCCCACGAGGAAGGCGACGAGTTTGTCAATGTCGGGCGCTTCCCACTTGAACTCGCACTCGTCGGGATCGGTGATGAGCGGGTTCTTGAAGAGCTCGCGCGCGTCCTGGTACGGCCACTTCTTCGGCACCGCGTACTTGGGGCCGAGGTGGCTGAGCACGTTCTCGATGGACTTGTGCTCGCGGATGAGCTTGAGCGCGGTGGTGGGGCCCACCTTCGGGATGGTGTCGCAGTAGTCGCAACCAAGGAGGATACACAGGTCTATGAACTGGTCCCTCGTGAAGCCGAGCTCTTGCATGGCGCGGTCGAGGTAGATCTCCTGCACGGGCTCCTTCTTCATCTCGCTGAGCATCAGCTTCTTCAGCAGGATGGGCGTCTCGAAGCACAGCGTGTCCATATCGTCGCTGGCGGCCGCGTACACCTTCCCGGCCTTGGCCAGAGCTGCGCACTGCGCTTCCGCCTCGCACGGCGCCTCGACGTAAGGTATACCCATGCAGGTCAACAGGCGTTTGCACTCGTCGTTGATCTCCTTCGTCACGCGCACCGTCCTCCGCGAGAACTTTTCAACCTCCTCCGCCGTGCCAACCTCCTTCGCCTCAGCGTGCGCCGCCGTGGCCTCGGCTTTGCGCGCGCTGCGTTTGGCCAGTTCGCCGGACTTCAGAGTGGGCGGGCGCCCGTCAAAGACGTAGAGTGGCTTTATCCCGTTGTCCACCATACGCAGGGTACGGTAGAAGAGGCCCATCAGGTGGGAAGTCGTCTCGCCCGTTTCGGAGGTCAGCTGTTGCCCCTCCGACCGAACGGCTATGAGGAAGCTGTAGATGCTCATCGAGGCATCGATGGCGATTTTCCGGCCAAAGTGTTGCTTTATCTCGCCATCCTTTATGGAATCCTGTGTGTTCTCTTGGAGGAGGTGGAAGAGGCCTGGATATCTTGTGTTAGCCAGTGACCGTAGATGGAGTATTTGCTCGCTTAGAGTGGTCACCTTTAATACCCATCTTGTGAACAAGAGAGAAAGTTGTTGCAAACCTAAATGTTGGCGAAACCGCGTGTAGAAAGTGAGGTTGCTAGGAGGAGATGAGGGTGACGCGCTGGAAAACCTGAGTCGCGCTTTATTCAGTCTTGGCTAATTGATGACGAAAGAGGTACTGTACAGTATGATAGCAAAACCTGAGGAGAAAGAAGAAAAAATATGATACCAAAACACTTACAAGTGTATTTTCGTAAACAGTCTATCAATCCCACAAGCGTGATTCCAGTTTTCATGTATTTTTCGAACCATCCCTCAGTTGTCTGGAAAAGTATCATACTGGTAACTTTGTACTTGTACAGTACGCTGCGAGTACCCGACACTCTCTAGTCACACATGATTGGACCATGCGAGTTCGATTCTACAGTGGAGCGTAGCCTATCGCCCCAAACGATAGATAGTTTACTCGTAAAGTTACTCCTGCCCACCACCGTCCAAGTTCAAAAAAACCGGCCATACCGAGTGACACGTCGTGAACATCTTGACCTCACTTGTGTCACCCAGGAAGGAACTGTTCGATCCAAACCTGCCGGGACCGTTGAATCATAAGTTGCCACTCCCAGTAAGGCGCTGTGCATATCTTGTCTCAATCGAGGGGCTGAGTTTCCCCTCCACCACCCCTGACCGAGAAGGGGAATTCTAACGTCCTGACACGTTTACCCGTATTATCGGTGCCGTATCCCCTACAGTACTCGTACAGTAGAGTCCTACCGTTGTGGTATTCGGGTGGGTTTCTGAGTATTGCGGAGTATACTTTTGCCGTGCCATATCATACTTGTATCATAACAACTCGAATAATTGGCGCTTGCACTGGGACGGCACTTTCTCGTTCTCGAGCTGGGGGCTGAAGGGGGCCAGTCTTCGCTGTGCTTTTTGACCACCCACCCTATCCAAGAGGAGGAATTTTCCACCTCTTAGTGCGAGTACCAAATACTTGTACAGTACCGGTAGTCTAACTTGCCTGGCTACGATATTCGAGTGCTTTGCTTACCGTACCGCAAAACCCAATGACAAAAAAGAAAAAAGTGCAAATTCGCATTGGTCAGCTTTCAGCCCCCCGAATTCAGCATTCCCCCCCCGCCGATCATGATTGGCGTTTGGTTATACCCGAATCAATACCACTCCACCTTCGCCATTTTTCCGGTAGAGCTGCCTGTCGCCCGGCCGATTGCCGTATTAACCCGAGATTTACAACTTTCAAACCACAAAAAATCACTCGCCAATAACCCTCCATGTGAATTTTTTTGCAAGTGAATAATAATAATTCACTCAATCGAGAAAAAAGTGTTTAAATACAGTATGCCGGGAATTTAGCGGGAAAAAAAAAAGGAAAAAAAAAAAAGAAAAAGGGAAAAAGAGGCTAGCGACATGTGGTAATAACATGGTGACAATGTGAGAGACCAGGGGCACACGAGCGGAGATCACTCAGGATAGGAGCTAGAGGGGGGAACCGCGCGGCAAAATTAAATGCCTAACAACATGCGGCGGGGATCCTCAATGTAATCCTTCACCTTTACTAGGAAGGTGACTGCCTCGCGGCCGTCGAGGAGACGGTGATCGTAGGTGAGGGCAAGGTACATCATCTATTGAGGCTGTCAGCGTGTGTTCGAGAGAGTCTCGGGATGACTCTTCCTACCGGTCTTATCTCGATCTTCCCGTTAATAGCAACCGGCCTGTCCTTGATGGCGTGAAGCCCCAACACAGCGGTTTGTGGAAGGTTGATTATCGGGGTACCGTAAAGGGAACTATCACAACAGGGTCAGCAAACTAAATGTCTCGTCGTCGGAGAGGCAACTCATACCCAAAGACACCACCGTTAGAGATCTAAAGAAGGGGAGAAAAAGTGGCGTTAGTGGAACTGAGGATAGTCTCGGCAAAGGAGGTGTGCTCACGGTAAAAGTTCCACCCGCCATATCCTCTATGGTGAGTTTCGCATCCCTCGCCTTCTTGCCCAGTTCGGCAATGGCCTTTTCAATCCCCACAAAGTCTAAAGCTTCGGCATTCCGCACCACGGGGGTAACAAGCCCCTTTTCTGTCGCAACGGCAACACTAACATCGACATAGTCGCGGTACACAATGGTGTCGCCGCCGTCTGGCCCTTCAATCGAGGCATTGACGGTCGGGACATCCCTCGAGGCAAGAACACAAGCCCGGGTGAATGCGCTCATGAAACCAAGCTTGACACCGGTCTTCTCAAGAACCTTGTCCTTGTACAACTTCCTCATTTCCATGAGGGCAGACATGTCTACTTCATTAAATGTTGTCAGGGATGCGGCGGTGTTCTGGGATTGTTTCAAGCGTTCCGCAATTCTGAGACGCATGCGGTTCATTTTCACCTAGGTAGGGTCAGTGACTTGCAACTGTCCAGACATTCCACCATTCCGTGCATGTACTCACACGCTTCTCCTCGCGGTTGCCGAGCCCTTCTTGGCTGGGGGCGACAGGCTTGGGTTTCTGCTGTTCAGCTTGCTTGGGCGGTTCCGGGACAGGAGGAGACGAAGGTGTAGGCTCTTTCTTTGCCTCTGACACCGGCTCGCCCTCCTCGCGCTCTTCCTTAGGAGGCGCCTGTTTGTTTCCGGACTCTTGGACAGCATCTGCCGGCGCTTTCGACTCTCCTTCAGCCGCTTCCTGCTTTCCACCGCTTTCCTCCGGAGCTCCCCCTAATTCCAGCTTGACAAGATCCTGGCCGACGGTGACGGTGGCCTCCTCCTCGACGAGAAGCTCGGTAATCGTGCCCGCCTCCGGGGCATTGACAGCGACATCGATCTAAAAAAAATATCAGCACCAGCACCTCTCCGAAAGCCCGCTCATAGCAAACACCCACTTTATCGGTTTCAATGGTCGCGATCTCTTCATCCTGCAGCACAAAGTCTCCAACCTCTGCAGACTTGTTAGTAGAAACGTTAGGACCTGCACACAAGAAGATAATTACTTTTGGAGAACTGCTTCAGCGTCCCCTCCGAAATCGACTCGGCCATTGCGGGAACCTTGATAACCATACTCGCTGCGAGGCCGCCTCAAATCAGCATACTGGAACTCATATTGACCCATAAATGAATCATTCTAATGTTTGCTTTTTGAACGAACCATAAGATCGGACTTGGAGATTGAAGATCGATGATGCATTAAAAAATTGTTGCGAATTCCTAGAAACACAGAGAAGGGAAATGAGGAAAATAAGCCACCCGACCCAGTATCGGAAGAGAGAGGAAAGGACACGAACCTAGAGGCACTTCCCAAGAGTCCATCCTTGTATTGTGATAGCCGTGAAAAGGGCCGTACCGAAGCTTGGCGGCACGAGGAAACGGAAGTGGCGGAGAGAGCCACACTAGGAGTAGCTGCCAGAGGCAAGCGACGCATAGCTAATCTACGACAAGCCATGATCTATCTCCGAGAAGTAAAAGAAAAACCGGAAACGAAGGAAACAGAGGTGCAAAAAAAGAGCAGGATCAGAGAGAACGAAAGGAGGAGGGTGGTGGAAAGGTTCAGAAGTGAGCAAAAAGGATGTACGGTAGGGCAACTTTTTGGGGGCTTGTTTTCCCGAGATTTGTGTGAAGAAGGAGGGGCGAGAGAGAGCCAGGGATGCGCGATGAGAGAATACCGTCTGCAAGCCAAGGCGTCCTTTTTCGGGGCCGAGACCGAACACTTGGTAGTGCTTACCCGTACTGTATCGATTCAGAAAGTATTCGGATATCAGGTGATCTCTCTTTTGCAAAGTTCGGATGCAAAACAATGCTCTGAAGTCCAATCACTTTACAGATCGTTAGATGCTTGGGTGCGGATGTGGAAGGTTTTGAAAGGACTTCCTTTAGGCAGTGGATGATGTGTATTCGACCGGGCTACCCTTAACTTATGGACTTTGACTTGCTCCGTGACGTCCCGCAGAGAAATCGACCGGCACCATACCCGTTTTTCCTCTGGGGGGGGGTCGTTCCTCCTAGATTACTAAGCGCGGACTTGGGTGGGAACAGACATCCCCAACCTCATCATCACCAGCATCAGCAAATTCTCGACAAAACCATCGGAACGAAATTAATCATGGCTACCACATCCATAGTCAAGTGAGCTTTGTTTCAAATTCTTCGCTAATCTACCGCTCAATCTCATGGCTAATGATTATTATTAATTTACTTTCTTCTGCAGGAGCCTTTACCGCCGCAGTCTCAAGTTGTCCCTGGACTGGTGCATTCGAAGGGACGTTTGGAGACCCCAAGCACTCAACATCCGGGAGTTGTTTGAAGCAAACCGGGACGTCAGGGAGCCCCGACAATTGAGGGTATGGAAAGCTCGTTCCTCCGTCTTTGGATGGATGGATTGAAGACTAACGTTATGGGTTATGAAAGGTCATTCTGCAGGAAGCGGAGGAAGCATTGGAGAGATGGAAGCACCCGGATCCGTACACGGCCCCGACTGCGCCTGGAGGTAACCGTCAAGTCTTGAGATTTTTTGCGTTGTTGTATATTCGCGGCTCCTAACAGGTCCCTAGGCTCTAAATACGAACGAAACCTTCCGTGTCCTATACTCGATCGTGAGTCTGCCCCTCCAACCCAGTCAATGGGGGACAATCAAACAAACCTATACTAACTCTACCTAGCTCCGGCTCCTCTACATTGAGCAAACACGGGATATTCGTAGAACCAGGGTGGGTGCAGCTGTGTGTATATGCAATATACCAACAGTTTCTGATTGACAGATACAATCCAAGCGAGGGGTCCAAGTCTATCTGCTGTCACCATTATAGCATTATTACCCTCAATATAAAAAGTAAGGCTGCGCACTACCCCTACCCGCAATACCCTACTATACATCTGCCGGTACCCGTCCAGGGCCAATCCCCATACATAATATTCGTAGGAACAAGACATCAACATATCAGTCATAAACCAATAAACCATAGCCCCCCACCCCAACAAATTCCACCCTTCTAATGGTATGCACACTGTCCCTAAGCAATGACCCAGAACTCCATAAAAATGCCATGTGATGCATATTCATTTATACCTCCTCGACGTAAACAGCCCAATGATGCGCCTTATCTGCTCCAAACCATCCTCTAGCAAGCGCTCCACCACTCTCGGTCGGTTGACTAAACGCAACGTCACCCTTCTCAATTTTCATCCCGTAGATAAAGTTTTCTCGCGCACAATCCAGTAGTCTCGTAGCAATGCCTTGACGACGGTGGTCGGCGCACACCCATACACGGGATATACCGAGGATAGCGGGGCGGGGTGTTTCACTACGAGCAAACCCATCATCAACATACTCGAGTAGAATGCACAGGATGGGTAGAAAGGGGAGGACGAGAACATACGAAACCGAAATCGAACTCCCCCTATAAGCCACACTCTTCGTCTCCCCATCCCCACCATTCCGAGCTTCATCCTCGACGACCCGATAAGCCCTCCGAATCCTCTCAGCAAGACACAACCCCACACACTTTTTCCCAACCACGTACAACAGTACTCTAAACCTCTCCCCCCCATCACCTCCTTCGATTTTAACACCCCCCCAAAGCACACCCTCCCCAATCTCCCCAGCTGAGAGTTCCGACTCCACAACCTCCAATACTTCCCTTGCCTTCCTCCTCTCCACCGCAGCACTCTTCCGATCAACAACGAGCACAAACGAATCCTCCTCCTGCCCCTCCTCGCTCCCTCTCCAAACAACCTTACTCTTCTTAGCGTCCAGAATAGTACTCTTGAAGTCCACCCCGCCGACAGACTTGGCATGGAAACGCTTGTGTAAAGCGTCGTCGTCGGGCGCGCACGGGTAGTACGACATTCCGCAGGTTCGGCAAGTGGCGCGTTGCGGCTGGCCCAGATCGATCTTCAGCTGTGTCAACTTTTTTTGCTGTTGCTGCTGCTCCGGTTGCTTGCGGCGGCGGGAAGCGGTAGAAGTGGTGGTGGTAGCAGTAACGCTTTTGTGAGTTTTCACGGAGAAGCCGGCGAAGTGCTTCTTTACCGGTGCTGGAGGAGGGGAGGAGGCAATATTGAGACTGTCGCCGTCGTCATCCGAAGGGGCTGGAATAGAGGAACTCCGGCTGGGAGATGGAGTATTTGTGCCCACGCTCGTATTCCCATTCCCACCGACATCTTCGGTCCATCGTCGTTTTTTGGTAGCACCAGTTACTAAGGTGTCTTTTCGAGAATATGTCGTTCGCGGAGGAGCGCTATCGTATAGTTAGCATAATAACCGTGCATCCAGAACATGGGAAGAAAGAAAAAGAAATAACCGTTTTATCCCAGTTCCCGGAAACATTTCCTCCCCCCCTTCTATAGAAGAACCCTTTTTTTTTCCCCTTTGTATTATGGATATTCGTAAGTGGAGAGTAAGAGTAAGATGAACCAGCGAATGAATGAATGAATGAAAGTAAATTACGGTAGTACTGCCCTGGGGGCGACGCGTATGATACTTTGTCACTACAGCATGGGTGGTGGGGGGGCAACGCGTCGCGCGTTGACCTAAAGTATTATCATAATAATAATAATATTACTATTATTATTATCATAATTGTGCTCGATAAAGACGATCATATTATGATATTTGGCGGGCATTCCCTACTCAGACAGGTTCTGTGTGCTACTCTACTGGAACCTTTTAATTTTAACTGTATTGAACAAGTGAAAAATTTCGGTATCCAACTAATCCTTTTCATATTAATTTAAGATCAAGAATTCTATTTAGGTATCATAATTGGGTTCATCTATCCACTAAGGACCATTTTTTTCTTTCTATTCTAAACAAGCAGCTTTCAGGATAATAGTTATCACTTCTTTCACAATTGTTCTCACATATAAAGAAGAGGTAAGTTTTGTAAAACTGTTACAAATGTGTTGTAGTTCGTAAAAGGATTTCATATGTTATTATTTGTTAACTTGAACAACTTGATTAAGTTGTATAATGTTATATTGGAATTGTTAGTTAGATAATAGTAAGCCTTGTAAGGCTTACTTAGATTTTATGTACAGTTGTGTCTAAAAAGTCTATGTACCCCCTTATGGCAACAGCATAACCACCACAAATAATGATATTAACTACACCAAAAAAATCATATGAGTACAATTTTAAAATAGATGAAAGTAGAAATAAAAAATAATAGTTTCCTAATGCTACCATTTTGTATGGCTTCTATCTGCATCCAATACAGTCTGAATTCTCTCAGATATTCTCTGAATTGACCCATCAAATGTCCCATAGGGAATGAGGTCCCACTCTTCCTTTACTGCCTGAAATAACTCAGTAGAACTATGGGGCCTTTTCTCAAACTTGGAGAATCTCTTTCTGAGGGCTTTTTTGAGAATTTCCCAGGCATTCTCAATAGGGTTGAGATCTGGTGAGTTGGGAGGCTAAGCTAATCTCTGATATCTACAATCCTCCTACAAATTTTTTGTTTTCTACTCCATTGTACCATGATGTATTATCTGCAGCCATATAGATAGTTTCAGGAGTCCTATTTATCTCTTCTATGAAGGGAAGGAGGTATGACTGGTAGATCTCAGTTGTATATTAATGGGCATTAAGACCAAGCCTGTCTCTCTTACTGGTCCTTTCCTTCTCACTCCTCTTCCTTACAAGAATTAGCTCGTTTCTCCTTCTATGAATCATTGCAGCATATACATCTATATTGGTACGTCCTGACTTAAAGCTAGGTTTTAAGTTCTTTTCTTCCAACTTTTCACCTAGTCTATGTCTGACCTTTCTTCCCACTGGATTTGGATCATATTCAATTGTGGACTCAGCCACAAAAACAACTCATTTCCAAGTTCTTGTCCAGTTTCTCCTGACCCTAGCAAACTTCTTTCTCTTCTCCTTCTATCCTTTTCTCCAAAAAGGCTTTTTCCTAGCTATCCTAAGTTTAAAACCAGCTTCTTTGGATATTTTGCTAACAGTATCTTTTTCAAGACCAATATTGGCTTTGTGGGTAATGTCTCTTAGTGCTAAATAAGGCTCAGCATCGATAATATCAAGAATTACTTGCCTTTTGTCATCAGTAATCTTGGTTGGTCTGCTAGATTTAGGGGTATCAAGAGTGTTTCCATCTCTAGATTTCGCATTTTTGACTACTGTTGAAACAGCTAATCTGGAGAGGTTTATAAGCTTTGAAATTTTACCATACTCCATATCAGTATGTTTATATAGGGTATAGATTTCCCTTTTCTGGTCTTCTCTAGAGGTTTGAGAATGTGGTGGTGCCATGGTGAGGTAGGTAGTGTTGAGGTGATCGATAGTTGTGGCATTGCCAAGAGAGGTACATAGACTTTGCAGACACGACTGTACATGACCTCTTCAGGGGTCAGAAGGACAAAGGATTATATAGTCAAATGAGGTGCAACTATAATCCATAAAACAATTAGATTTATAAGTGGGTTGTGAGAAGGTCTATATAAGGTAAGTAGTTTGGCCTTAGAGATAGATCTTCATATAATCACTTAAGTTATTTTCTAGTATATATCTTATAAATACTACCTTATTATTCACAACTTATTTATCACATTACAGGAAAACTATAACAAGTATGGGGAATAATAGTTGCTGTTAGAAGTAATTAAGAAAATGAGGGTATCCCCTTAAGCAATAAAAGACAACTATCAGATAACTACTATAGTACAGAAAAAGATGAAAATAATAATGCATATTACTTCTGTAATAATACTTGTGTTAGGATCGCTTCATGATCACTCCTAGGATATAGTCATTTAACAGGTAAGAAGTCTTTTTATAAAAGTAGTATGCATAATTACTTCAACCTTCTTCAAGATGGTGATCATCCTGTAGTTGTCTCCTGTTACTTAAGAAAATACTCTTATTTTCTTAAGTACTCCAACAGCAACTATTATTCACTATACTTATTATAGTTTTCCCATAAGGAAGATATATAAGTTGTGAATATGAAGTATTATAGTATTCATAAAGGTATGTACTAGGAAATAACTTAAGTGATTATATGAAAATCCACCTCAAAGGCTAAACTCATTACTTTATGTAGACTTTCCTACAATCTACTTACAAATCCAACTGTCATATGGATTGCGGCTATGCCACATATGACTATATGATTCTAATATAACATAACAATTATGACTTGAATTCTAAGTCATATACCAAACCCACATGAGCCTGAAACAGGTGCTATGTACAATAAATAATTATAACATTATACAACTTAAATAAGTCATTAATCAAAACCATAATATATAAAATCTTCTACAAACTACAACAGACTTGTAATAACTTATTACCTGTATTACTTATTGAATAAATATATTTCTGAAGCGATCAAAGAGTAATACTAATAAAAACCTACTTAAGTTTTGTACTAATATACTAATTAGATGCCAGTTATATTTTGCATAATATTATAATTTCGCATTTACAAGTTATATGATATTATTATTATTGTCTATCTAAGAATCTAATAAGTGTAAATATCTTTTAAGTATGAAATCTCACATACTACTTTACACTTAATTTTATAAATTATTTTGTTCTAGAAGAATACTTTAAGTCTATTTTATTTTAAAGAGCTATTTTGAATTTATTAAGTTAAAATTTAATAGAATTCTTTCTGTAACTCCATTCTTGCTAACTGTTACAGGATTAGATCTCACTTTATCCTTACTATTATATAGTTTTTGTAAAATGGATTTATATAAGTATTTTAATAATATTATACTAGTAAAGATTATGAGAAGTAGAAGGTGTAGAAGCTTAGCAGAATGTAGTAGAATATATTTGAACATGATAGAATTGGAAAATTATTAGTATATGAGTTTTCTTTTATTATATAAAGACGAATTCACCTTTATCTTTTACTTTCTTTATATAATATAGTATTCTTTTCAAGCTACTTACCATAGAGTATTATTTATAAAAAAGGCAGAACAAGAGTGATTCTACTATAAGAACAAGTAGAGAAAACTGATACTATAAGTAAATAGTGGACCTGTACTAGACTAGTATGAGAACTATTTATGAATTTCTCCTTGCCAGATAGTGAGTAGATTATACTAATTGACTCTAATATTCTTACTCTTAAAATTTTCTAATATGACTGATGATGAAAGCTCTGTATAAATGACTTAATAATCTATTGTATAATTAAAAAAGAACAGAAAGTACAAAAGGAAATAAATAGCTCTACTCTCAATTGAGGTAGAGAAGCAGTGTTGACTATGCCATGTTGACTAAAGTATGCTCTTATATTATTAAGAAGATTAGATATTCTAACTTAAATAATAATTATTAAATTTTATATGCCAAGTTGTCTATCATATTCTACCAGATACAGGAATATCCTTCAACTCACACTCAACCTAATACCAGTACTCTACTTAATTAACTCACTTAATATATATTAATTACTTCCTACATATTAGTTTTCACTACTAGGTAAGTTAAAGACTATCTACCAACTTGAAAAGTAAAACATAATATTATAAAAAAAAAAAAAGATAAAAAAAAAAGATAAAAAAAAAGAAGATAAAAAAAAAGATAACCACATTCTAGTATTTAATAACTAGTATTTAAATAACATGTTTATTTTAAATTTAAAAGTTAAAATAAAATAAGAAACCCTTGTTCACAAAAAGTCACTCGACCAACCTCTCTTCGACAAGAGCCGTTCAGCACGATTCTCATACGGCGCAGTGGAAAGCGTATCGTACCTCCCAAGAGCCGTAAAGCGGACCAATCCGTGCACATCCACCCACACATCCGGCAAGGGAAAGGGGTTCGGGAGGGAGGGACAGCCATGGCCACCACACTTCACTTCTCAGTGAGGATCACTCTCGAGCCACGCAACACGGCGACCCGCGTGCGTGCATGATCTGATTCGACGATCAGAACAGATGCATCGCTAACTAGACTAACTAACGCACTCACACTCTCCAATTCTTTTTATATGATATGTGGTGTGATACTGTCCGCGACCGACAGATTGCCTTCACGTTGTTGGACGGACGGTGGGATGGATGGCTTGGGATCATCTATATGTCCATTTCGCTGCTGTATTCTCTTGGTTTGCGGTACCGTTTTGGCCTTAACGGTTTCATGCCAAGTTACTGTGGCGATTCCACTGACAGTACTGTGATTCCTGGTATCATACAGTACAGTACGGTACCTTCCCGCCTGTGCTGTACTTGTACGGTGGATGGGCTCTGGGGCGGTGCTATGATATATGGCATTTTGACGTCAAGTACGGTCCATATACAGAATGGGCGAATCGGGGACTCTCATCACTAGAGTAGAGAAAATAAGATAGATAGAAAAAGGGGAACCCTAGATGGATACAAGTTCCCAAATATGGGCCATTTTTATTTTTTCGTAAAAAAGGGATTTCTCTATCATTCCAGTCCAATCCAATCCAAACCTACCAAGCCCATCCCATCGCACAATCCCTGCAATATAAACGGGCCCCACAATATAAATCGGCAAGCAACACCGAAAATTTTGGCCCAATGAAACAAAGCTCGCCTTAACCATCGGGCATCAAAGAAAAAAATAAAATAAAAAGCCCAACCAGCTCCTCCCTTCACAATCTGCGACAATTCACAACACCCAGGTACAAAGTGGTAATCGGAGATTTCATAGGGGCACAGAGTATAGTTCAGAAGAACCCAGTAACCGGCATTTCGTTAATGTACAGAACGCATGACCCCGAAAAACAAAAAACCATTGAAGACAAAACATGCCCCCAGAAAGATAAGAGAAAAAACCGATTGCCAAAGACCCCACTTTGGAAAAAAAGAAAAAAGTATAATTAGACAAGAAAACAGAGAGCCGCTCCTAGCCTTTCAAATCCCTTCCCCCCAATACCTTCGACAGATGCAAGTGAGAAAAGAAGTGAAAGGATAAGCCCAGAAGTAAAAAGGTTTCCCATTGTATGATAATGCCTAGTTGAACAATTTATTTGGTAGAGGAAGAGTACTTGGTGACGGCCTTGGTGCCCTCAGAAACGGCGTGCTTGGCAAGCTCACCGGGGAGGATCAAGCGGACAGAAGTCTGGATCTCGCGAGAAGAAATGGTAGACTTCTTGTTATATGCAGCAAGCTTCGAGGCCTCAGTCGCAACACGCTCGAAAATATCTATTCAAATTAGAATCGGAATTTGGGAAATAGAGTATGGGAAAAAAGATAACCAACCATTGACGAAGGAGTTGAGAATGGACATAGCACGGTTGGAAATACCGGTGTCAGGGTGGACCTGCTTCAAAACTGCATTTTAAATCGCATTAGCTGAAGTGACTCAGGATCGAAATCGGAAAGTCCAGATGACAAACCCTTGTAGATGTATGAAGAGTAAGTCTCCTTTCTGGTCTTGGAGCGCTTCTTCTTCTCGCCACTGGCGGCAGCGGTCTTCTTTCCAGCCTCCTGCAAAAAAACTCAATGTTAGAGATCCATCGCAAAAGACCCATAGTATTTGTTTAATTGGGTAAAAAAGAACGAATTTTAAAAGAAAAAAACCCAAAAAATACTTTGTTTTGGAAGGCCAGGCGAGTTAAGCGAGGAAATCAGATGAGAAAACTAACCTTCTTCTCAGGGGCCTTTCCGGCCGGTGCCTTTCCGGCGGTGGTGGGCTTCTTCTCAGCAGCTTTTGGAGGCATTTCGAAACTGGGTTGAAGTGTTTGGTTTTTGGTTGAGTTTTGTTGGTTCGTGTGCGAAAGATGGAGAAGTAGAGGAGCAGAGGGATGGTTGCGTGTGGATGAAGAGAGAAAGAGCAATAAATCGAACCGTGGGGAGCGACGGGTTTATATAGGCACAACCAGCTTGGTTGGCATCAACAAGGTTTGGGTTGCGTGACGAGGGTTGCGCATCGGTATGTAGGGTACGCGTGTAGATAGGTTGTGGCTGGGGTATCATCACGGTGTCAGCCTTCTCCAGCCCCGCGATTGGGGTAACTCACCATCGCCTTTCCCTCCCACAATCCTTACTGAAATTCCTTAACCGAAACGCGACCCACACATTCTCCAACCATGTGGAACCAATAAGATCATTCTGTTCGCATGTTAGCCCTAACCCATACAGATGCAGGCCTGGCTCGGTCAAGCTGTAAATCTGAAAAGAAATAAGAACTAAATGGAGAAAGAGGTAGAAGAACATTTGTTACGGTCGCGTTTTTCCTTCCCCTAGCAACCAACCCACCAACCACCCAAACTCTACCCCTACACCCCCCCCTGCCACTAACTGAGTGTGATGCAACCTGCCTCAACCCAGCGGTATAAAGCCCACTCCATCGCCCACATCTCCCTTTCCCTCTCCCTCCCTCGTCCATCCGTTCTTCAACCTCACCACAACGCTCATCAACTCACAGCTGCGTCTACTTTCAACGCGTAATTTCGCCCACCTCCACTTTTCAAAAACCTTTTCGAAAACCCAACTCTTACGCCAAAGATGTCTTCCGGAGGCAAAGGTGGAAAAGCTGCCAGTGGCAAGCCTTCTCAGAGGTAAGAGTTCCTACTTTTTCAGTTGGATACGATTCCAAAACCTCAAAGTATCATGACTTTCATGATGGTTTTTGGATTTGAATTTTGGAATTACATTTTTTTTTTTTTTTTTAAACTTCAATTTCTAACTTCAATTTTGATAGCCGTTCTTCTAAGGCCGGTCTCGCTTTCCCCGTCGGTCGTGTTCATCGTCTTTTGAGGAAGGGAAACTATGCTCAACGGTTTGTCAACCCTTATCTGAGGATTTTTTTCTCTTTCGCACTTTGAAGTCTAATATTTTGAATTTAGTGTCGGTGCCGGCGCTCCTGTCTATCTCGCTGCCGTTCTTGAGTACCTTGCTGCCGAAATCCTCGAGTTGGCTGGTAATGCTGCCCGTGATAACAAGAAGACTCGTATCATTCCTCGTCATCTTCAGCTTGCCATTCGCAATGATGAGGAATTGAACAAGCTTCTTGGCCACGTCACTATCGCCCAAGGTGGTGTCTTGCCTGTAGGTTTCATTATCTCATTTGTGTATCGATTTTGAATCTTTAATACTGACTCTGGTAATTTAGAACATTCACCAAAACCTTCTCCCCAAGAAGTCTGGAAAGGGTGGTGCCAAGGGCGCCTCTCAGGAGTTGTAAACTTCTTCCTTTTTCGATTTCAAATAAATAAAAATAATTCTGCGCAAATCAACGCGTTTTGTCTGGCTTCTTTGATCGGTCCGGGTGTGATTTTTTTGTGTGGAAATGTGAAAAAGATCCGAGGATGAGGGATACAGGAGATGGGACGACGGGAAAGCGAGTGGTTGATCAAATAAATTTTATGGGTGGTTATCGCTGGTGTTTTTCTAGTCACTTCTTTTCCCTTGGTTTCGGGTTACGATCACAAATTCAAACTCGATAAACTTCTTTGGGATTTGGGTTTTTCTTTTCTTTTCCATTTTTTCTATTTCTTCGTGGGCATTTATCATGTATTATAGGCGTGTTTGATTCAATGATTGGGGGGGGTCTATTTCATGTAACTGTCTACGCAAATGGAATCGTTGGTTTGATATGCTATAATGCTCTTTATCTTTTTGCTACTATTTGGCTCGGACCTTTTTCAGTTTTTGACCCTTTTTGATCATTGATATTTTTTAAGCTACCGTACAGTACATAGCCTAGAGATCATTTCTATCTACTGCTTGTTTCTCGCCACAACATAACCTACAAACTCAACGTAGACTGCCTATTAATACCATGCCTATCTCACACCTCGATATCAGAAAACTCGAAATCCGTATTGACATAAACCTTCTCTTTCCCCTTTCCTCCTTTCCCTCCCTTTGCAGGCGCGGGTTTATTCTCGTTCTCGCTCCTATCTGTACCTTCATTCGGCATCTCCAGTACCGCTGTATCTGAAACCCTAGCCCTCTTCCCAGCGGGCACAACAACATCTGCATCGCTCATACCCTTGCGCTTTCCGTTCCAGTTGATATTCATATTCATAGCGCTAGTGCTCGAGACGCTCCCACCAGCGATGGTCGTGCGCCTGCGTGTGTTGGGTATGGGGGTAGTGGTGGTGGTGGCGGCAGAGGTGGGGATGCCGATAGAGCGACGGGATTTCCTACGCCCACTATCCCAGAGCGAGCCTGTCTCGTCCAAGATTCCGGGTGGGATGGCGAAGCCTGGGGTTAACGTTGAGAGGTAGGGTTTTCGGGTGGGTTTTGGTTTTGGTGGGGATGGGGTTGGGGGTGGGGGGTTGTGCTGCGTGGGGTGTTAGGATTTTTGTATGTAGTTATGTTAGTTAGGGGGTGGAGGGGTTACCTCTTTGGTGGTTGAAGAGCGGGTGTGGATTGGAATGTGTACTTCTGGAGTTGGCGGTATTATTGCTCCTTTCTCGCACTCTCTCGCGGGTTCAAGCTCAGTGGACCTTTTTTTCCGTGCTTCTGCCCATGCGTTGATATGACCCCTAGCTTGACTCTTGAGTAGAGAAGATAGTCCGGAACTTCTTGTTTCTCTAGTAGTAGGGGGAGCAGCCGGTGTGGTCGGCATAGCCGCAGCTGCGGTCCCGACGGAAGCAATGGACGTCCTTCCCACCTGCGCCTCTCCAGCCTTTATACTACTCTTCCCGCCTACACCAGAATTCGCAGCCGCGCGAGCTCTGGAGCTAGTGGTATTCCTCGTGACGCCTTTAGGCGACTCCACAACCTCCTTCACCTCTGCGCTCTCCTTCTGGGCTTGCTTTGTGCGCTTAACATGTTTCCCATTAGTACCGCGCACTGAGTTTGTTCTCGTCGCAATTGGTAGCTTTTCCGGGGTTCCGGGGATGGCATAGGACCTTAGGCTTGCCTTTGCCGGCGGCATTGGTGTTGGTCCGGTGACTGGCCGGGCGGGGATTACGTCTTCGCCGTCGTCGCAGTCATCACCCTCACTAGATTCGCCCATTGGGGCTGATAGAGTTTGATCTTGGCCGTCGTTTGGCAGGGTGAAGTTTACGGACACGGCTCCATTGGCTCCTGAGGTGGTGGTGGTAGTAGGCTTGATGGGTTTTTGGGTTTTTCCAGTGCTCGCAGGAGTGGTCGTGGTAGGCTTCTTGGTTATTGCGTTCCTGGCCTTTTTCAGGCCAGCGGCAGGGGCAGCGGTGGTGGAGGCAGCAGTCGTAGAGGCAGAGGTGCTGGGACCTGCGCCGATGCTCCTGCGTAGAGAACTTGGCACCGCGGGGTTGTTGTTGGTGATACTTGTAGATTGAGAATTGGATAAGAGTTTGCTTATAGCCTGTGCAATAATTCATCGCAAAGTTAGCTTTGTTCCTCGCCTTAATCCACCCCAACGGCTGACCCTTCACCCATCTTCAGCCGGTCCAGTAGAAAGGGGGAGAAAATGGGGGCCTACCCGTGGAACAGGAGATTTAAAAAACAGGTTATCAAACTTCTCGTTCACGGATTTCTTTCCAGCCGGGGGTCCCATCGGGCCAGCTGTCAGAACGCTCCCCGCTGCTGTTGCTGTCGGTTTCCGAATTCCATTACTACCTCTGCGGGTGTGCGCGTTGTTTGAAGTTTTAAGGCTAAGAGACGAAGTAGATGCGGAAGTAGAGCCGCGAGCGATCGATCCTGCTTTTGGAAAGCGAGAGCGGGAAGCGGTCGGGTTGGAAGCCTTCTTGCCAGCGCTCGAGTCGGAAGGCGGAGTTGGGGGCATGGTTGTGTCGCTGGTGGATGGGGAGTTTGTTTTGACGGGCGCGAAGGTAAATTGTGAGCCCCTTTTCTGAAGATGGGATTTTTTGCAAGAGGTTTTTGGGCAGTCGTTGTTGGGTGATGGTGGAAGGGATGGTGTGATGGGGGTGGTTGGTTAGGTCAAGGTTTGGGGGGGTTTTTCGACCGAGGCGTCGGTGACGCGTGCGGAAGGTTGCATTGGGGTCATTATTGATCACTCGATTCAGGATTAATATTCACTTTTGCAGGGCACACATCTCGTGGTAAAAGCTCTGTTGAGAATTCTGAGGATCTCTGGGTGCCGATCCTTTTCCGGAATCGAAAACGGTTTGTCCCTTCTAGAGGTCTGCCATAAACAATTGCCATGAGATGCACAGTACGAGTACCTCGACTTTTTTTGCTTGGCTGATGCTCTCCCCTCTGCTGAGCTGTATCCGGGTTACCGGTTAGTTGAGTGCGGCTTTCTTCCACAACTCGACCCTGAGTTTGATTCCTTGGGTCTCTTAGCTTTGTTGGACTTTTGCTGGATGCTGTGACAAGTTAATCGTGGGTATCTACCAAGTATCCCAGGGTTATGAGATAACATCGCCATGCCGGGTACTAATTCTTCTCGTCCAGCGGCGGAAAAAATTCTTTTGCCGTGGTTATCGTCCCGCAGACACTCTGAGCAGTCTGTACTGGTGTGTTCAAGTAGCATGGCAAGTAGGGGATGGGAGATTGTCATACTTTGGCTTTTCATGGGTTAGCTACAGCCAATGCTTGGATCGGGTATTGCCGTAGTACTAAATAGTACCGGTACAGTACATGAATCTGGTATGATACAAGTACTACAATTGGAACTGTGTGTTGGAGTCCAGGGGCTTTGTTATCGTACCATATGCTGTGGCAAACATTGTCCCCATTAGGAAACTTTGGGTTACTGAATCCTGCTTTCCTTACGAGTAATCCTTCACTCTTGCTGTCTACCGGTACTGTACTGTACTTGTACAGCCTTTAGGATGGGATCCATTAGTCTATCCATGGCCAAGAGCTCCCCACCCCACCATCACAATGGCACCATGGTAGACACCTCCAATCAATCTGATCCTCTAGCTAATCCACATTCTTAGCGCATGACTGGCCCCCATTTGCTTTTTTTTGACAGATGATGATGTTAGTCTAATCCAAGACCACTTCGGATAAGGCGATAGTCTAGCGGCGGAAGCTGTACGAGTGGATGGAGAACCTGGTGGCTTTTTTGGGGCTGGGGGTGAGATGTGATTTGATTTGATAAGTTATGGGGTGGAGGGGGAGCCTGGATGAGGGTGTATTTGCTCGTCACGGTTTGCTCGGCTCATGTCTAGGACTCGGGTTGGGGTGTACCCCGCTCATTCCTCTCGTTTGTTGGATCGCGAGCACCGATTGTCTGTAATGGAGAATATAAAGAGGGTTGAGGAGTCCCGTTTTTGTCTCGAACCCATTGAAATCAACCCGATCTCCCATCGAACTCTCTTTTCACACAAATAATCATGGTCGCTGGGCCAATTCGAACTGCCTTGAAGGTAGACTTTGGCAAGTCTGCTCAAGAACAACGGCATTTTCACGTAAGATTTAATTCTCCATTGACTTGTGGCGGGGAACTAATGGATGAATAGAACCGCTGGCATCCAGATAGTAATCCACCCCTTGCCTCTGACGATTTGAGCTGTTGTACGCTAACTGACAAACACAGTTCCCACTGTTGGAAAGATTGTTCCGGGAGAAGTTGTGAAGGTGGAATGTGTTGACTGTACTGGTGGCCGAATCCAGAACAATGACTGCGCGGACGACGCCAGGGACTGTGACCTTACACAGCCACATTATCTCTCAGGTCCCTTCGAGATTGAAGGAGCGGACCCTGGAGACGTCTTGGTCGTTGAGATTCAAGATGTGCAGCCATTCGAAGACAGACCCTGGGGCTTCACGGCGGTATTAGACAGGAGGAATGGAGGTGGATTCTTGGACGACCACTACCCACGGTCCGCAAAAGGTATGATATAGTAAACACTCCTTCCTACAACCTATCTATTTCATAGCTAACGACTACGGCAGCAATCTGGGACTTTGAAGGAATTTTCTGCTCATCCAGGCATATCCCGCACGTTCGATTCCCGGGCCTAATCCACCCGGGAATTATGGGCTGCGCACCATCCGCTGAAGTCCTAGCAGAATGGAACCGTAGAGAATCCGAACTGGTCTCCGTGAACACCCTTGACCGGGTAGTAGCCCTATGCCCACAACCAGAGGGCGTCCATGCAGGTTCTGCTGAGGAGGATCTGAGAGCGAAGGTTGGAAGAGAAGGAGCAAGGACCATCCCCGGGCGCCCCGAACACGGTGGGAACTGCGATATCAAGAACCTTAGTAGAGGGTCGAAAACCTACCTCCCTGTGCACGTTCCCGGTGCAAAGTTCTCTGTGGGGGACTTACACTTCTCGCAAGGTGATGGAGAGATTAGTTTCTGCGGGGCTATCGAAATGGCTGGAATCATCACTCTTAAGTTTGAGCTTATGAAGGGGGGCATTCGAGAACTTGACATGAAGAGCCCGATCTTCATCCCTGGCCCTGTGGAGCCACATTTCGGTCCCGGCCGAATGCTCACTTTTGAGGGGTTCTCCGTGGATGAGGCTGGAAAACAGCATTACATGGATGTCACAGTTGCTTACAGGCAGACTTGCCTCAGGGTAATTGAGTATTTGAAGAGGTTTGGATACTCGGGCGAACAGATTTATCTGTTGCTGTCTTGTGCCCCGGTTCAGGGACATGTTGCTGGAATTGTTGACGTATGATAGATTATCACCTGGCGGTGGTGGCGGCGATGTATGATTCGATGCTGACAGGGAATGATAGATTCCAAACGCCTGCACAACCATGAGTGTCCCAATGGACATCTTTGACTTTGATATATCCCCCGGTGCACCGATCCCGAGGTTGGATATGGGCTCTTGCGCGTACACTTCTGATAGGAGGTAAATTATACGAAGCGAAAATGTGGTTCTATTTTAGAGCGGTGTCTGGGGTTGGGGGAGGGAGGCTTTTTTCATTTTTATTTTCATTTTCATCCTGCTTTGGGCAGTCAATAAATAAAAATTGGTGATCTTATGTTATTATTTTGGAATATGATTCGGTTAATCACGTGTGATCACTCGGATAAAAATATTTTCAGTTGAAGACATAATACAGTAACGTTAGTAAATAATTAAAACAACAGAAGCAGGATATAGGCCCAATATCATGACAGAGCTGTAGAGCGAAGCACCGCAAACTCAATGATATGGTAACAGTGTTCCATCAGCTCCTGCTCCGGGTCAGTGGGTGTTGTCGGCTCAAATTATTTACCCACCCTTTTCTCCATGTATGATGCCGGCACCCCGTCACTTGTCCGGGAAACATACCCAAAATCTTATCGTGGAGGTTTTCTCGTCAGTTTTTTTTGTTTCGGGCAGTGTGATGATAATAATAATATTTCTAAGGATTAATTTTTGCGATTTTCTCGAACTTGTCTGGATAAAACCCGTTGTTGGCCGACATGTTGATTTCTCCACCCACCGATTAATCCGGTGGCGAATAGCAGGGGATTTCGGGATTGTACCAGTACTGTACTGCACAAGTAGGGTGACTTTGGTGGTGGGGGGTTTACAATATAATACCTCAATCCACGGAATAATCAAGCTGTGTTTCGGGGTTTTGTATTTGTCCGGCATGCTTTCACTTCATCAACAGTCACTCATACCATTGTTTTTGTTTTTTTTGTTGAAAATGTTCCTCCATATACAAGATAGTGGGCAGAAAGCGGTGGGGCTGACTAGGTGGCATGTTAGTCCACAATGAGGTGGATGATTCGAGTTAGATGAGGCTACACTTTCTCTTGAACCCGAAGGTTGGTTCTTCTCTGTATAGATAGGCGAAAACCCTCCATCTTCTCAAAAAATGAAGGCAGTCGTTTCAACATTTTTCTCCTTCTAAACGAGGTTAGTCGAGTGCCGGACCGGACACTACTCTGTAGGTGCTTCTGAGGATTGGTTTTTGGTTGCCTTTATTTAAATGTTGCGAGTATAACCAATCGTTCATATCCGTATTTTCTAGGAAGCTCACTGCCAAGCTGGTATCGTAAAATAGCGCCTACTGTACTGTACTGCACTGTAAATACCGAGCCTTTTTTTTAATTTTTTTTTAATTCCTGTGTTGAAGGGGCGGTGGATGGTTCATTCAGTGGATTTAGTACTCTGCAAAGTTCCCAGCCGATGCACTTTGCTCGCTCGCTCGGTATTTCCGCACTGTATCCCTGGTATCCCTCGTGACTGACTGTTGGGGTGAACTTGTGTTTCTTTATTGTGTTTGTTGACTTGTGATATCGGTATTTGGTGGCGGGTGGTTGGGTTTGTATTGGATTGTCTCTTGGGTTCGTGGTTAAGGGGTGCTTTTTATTTTTTATTTTTTATTTTTTATTTTTTTTTGATAGGGAATAATATCATACTTAAAGTAACTTTGGGGAAAGCCTAAATAGTTCTTAATATTATAGGTGGTGTGTACTAGGGGGTTGACAAAAGTTGTGGCCACTTCAGAAAAAGGATGTGGCATTTGTATGAAGTCTAAATTAGATTAGGATATTTGAGTGATACCTAATAATTACATTTTTGTGTTGGTAAAAAGTTGTGGCCATTTCCAAAATGGGAACTGCTATGAGTGATATCTTATGAGTACAGTCTGCTAGAAACAAAGTGTATTTACAGACTAAAATAAACTACAAGAATTAATACTGAGTTGCCCTCCCCCTCCTTGACAGCTATAACAGCTTGCAGGTACTGTGGCATGGTACAGATTAGGTTATCAAGTCACTTGTTTGGAATAGCATTCCAAACAGTGTTTAAAGCTGTTTTCAAGGTGGTCATATCATCTATTCTCACTTATATCTTGCCTAGTTCATTTTCAATATTAAGCCAGAGAGGTTCTTGATCAGATTTAGATTAGGAAATTGAGCTAGCCATTGGATGGTCTCTATTTGATTGAGATCACCATAGTAGTTAGTATAGCCCTTGTAACTGGTATGGGTACTCAGTTATTGGTTTATTTTAAGTATTGTTTGATACTTAGTTTTGTTTTATGTTTTGTTTTAAGTATCACTTTGATACTTGGTTTGTTTTAAGTATCGTTTGATACTTAGTTTTGTTTTATGTTTTGTTTTAAGTATCGCTTTGATACTTGGTTTGTTTTAAGTATTGTTTGATACTTAGTTTTGTTTTATGTTTTGTTTTAAGTATCTCTTTGATACTTAGTTTTGTTTTATATTTTGTTTTAAGTATTGCTTTGATACTTGATTTGTTTTAAGTATTGTTTGATACTTAGTTTTGTTTTATGTTTTGTTTTAAGTATCGCTTTGATACTTGGTTTGTTTTAAGTATTGTTTGATACTTAGTTTTGTTTTATGTTCTGTTTTAAGTATCGCTTTGATACTTTATTAAGTTTTACCAAAGTGTATCGATTGATATTTTTGATTAGCTTCATTCATGCTAGATATGAACAGATTTGTTTATTTAAAGACTGCCTGTTTCTATGATAGAAAAGGCAGACTTCGACAGACAGTATTTCAATATACTTGGTTGAACAGTTACTTCTTTGTTTCTCAGTACACCCTCGAAGCCTCCTTTAGTTCTCAGCTCTCGCCTTCTCTCTGGAGGAGCAGGCTACCTGGCAACTATCGTATCTATTACCGATAATGTGATTAGCACCTTGCGAACACGTTACATTTTTTTAACCTCAGCAAGTGGTTAAGAACCTGTCCCCGGATTGAGGCCTGATCAACCTATCGATATTTACCTTAGAACGCTAGCGGAGAGAAGTGGCAGAATCATGGCATATTCGGCTTCATCTCAAAACCAACATAGAGTCATTGATGACTAGGAGTGGGAAGTAAATCCCATGACAAGACTTTACAAGAAAGAAACAACTACGGTGCTCTGCGAAGGAGCCGGGAGAACCTGCAAATATGGAAGACACATAACCCCCAGGAGAATTCCCTTCTACACTAGTGAAAAAGCCTTCTTTTGAACCTCCGCTCGATCCCGAATCCAGTAGCGAATCGGATATGGCTAGTACAGGTGGAAGGCCTTCAGGAGGAGGAAAATCTCGGGCTTGACCTGAAGAAGAGGAAGTACCTGCAGCATTTGAACCCCCTAAGTTCAAACTCCACCTCCTAGCAAAGTTTACAGGAGAAGGAAAAGACCTCAAACCTGAAGCTTTTGATCGATGGGCGACTGAACTCACACACTACCTTCTCCTACAAGAGAAAGATATGGAAGATTCTACAACTGGACTATATATTGGATCATTCTGTGAAGGAAAGGCAACCGATGCATACCACCAATGCTATATGGAATATGGCAGAAATGTAAGATTAAGAGGATCCACTGTTCTCGATTACCTGAAAGGCCGATTCCAATCCTCTATCACCAATGACCTCCTATACAACAAATTCAACCAGCTCCAGCAAGTTAATGGAATACATGTCAAGAGAATCACAGATATAGCTACGGATCTAATGATGTATAAGGACTAAATTAAGAAAGAAAGCATTTTTAACTACATCCTTAAGTGACGATTCTATGATAATATGCATCCTACCCTCTGGTGAGAGGTAGAACCACTTGAGGAAGACAACGATGATATTGCAATAATAATTACAAGAGCAGAATGAAAGGATGCCATCCTCTATAAAACTGAGGCATACAAGACACAGACATCCTCTAGCAGGAATAGTCAACCATAACACAAGCCCTCCAGTAACTCTGAAGATGATATCCTACAGGTTTTCAAGAAGAAAACCAAATCCTCCAAAGAATCGAGATGGCAGAAAGAAGAATGCTTTGAATGCAGGAAAACAGGACACATGACAAGGAACTGTCCTACAAAAAAAGAGAAAGGAAAAGCGATTAAGCATGAGGCATCGGCCAACAATATTGAGAATGATAGTGATGATGCCCAATTCAGCAAATATGAGGAAATCCATATCAGATATATTGATGTGGAGTGCAACAGTGTCCAACCTCCGGCTACATTTAAGGCACACACCACCCTGGAAGGTACTATTCCGATCAATGGCAAGAAGGCTCGAGTCCTATTCGACACTGACCCAATCGGAAGAGACATGATCAGCAATGCCTTTGTCTCTCTTCATGGACTCCCAACTCGAGACCTTAACCAACCCATACCAGTCAATATAGCAGTGAAGGGATCACGATCCACGAGCCATAAAACCTGCAGTGCAACTATTTGACTTAGTTCTGCCATCCTACTCCCCTAGGAAATGCTAGTCGGAAACTTAGCCAAATATGATGCCTTGATAGGGATGACATTCCTGAATCGCCATAAAGCTGTAATCAGGTGTGGGGAATCAACCATCAATTTCCCAGATCAAAAGGTCAGAGTTTCTTGCAAGCCAACAAGCGGAGAGTACCGGGCTACAGTCTGTGAAGCAACTGCCCAATGCCTATTAGATGAATACTCTGATGTTTTCCCTGATCAGATTCCCGAAGAACTACCGCCTTTGAGAGAAGTGAACTATCACATCCGTCTCTGAGACTCCTCTAATCTTAAAAACCAACCTACCTACTCAATTCCTGATGCATATAAAACCCACTATGTGACTGGATAAACCAACAACAAAGAAGAGAAGTCATCCACTGAGCGGAAGCACCAGGTGCTGCACCTATGTTTGTCCAACCCAAAGCAGATGGCAAAAGAATCTGCTCCTTGGTTGACCTCAAACTATGAAATGAAAACACGGTTATAGACAGCTCCGCTATTCCAAATCAAACCCAGATCCTGAATGCAGTTGGACGGGCTAGATTCTGAAGCAAGATTGACCTAAGTGATGCCTATTTCCAGACAAGGTTAGATCTAGAGAGCGAATGCTACAACAGTTTTAAAACACTCTTCAGAAGTTTTATTAGCCGAGTTATGTTACAAGGTGATATGAATGCACCCGTCACCTTTATGCGAATTATGGAAAACCTCCTAAGTGAATACCTCCACCATTTTGTATGGGTTTACATCAATGATATTCTTATTTTCTCAAACTCCAAAACGGAACATATCTATCATATAGGTTTAGTTTGTACCAGACTAAGGGAAGCTAAG